CGCTGGGCTTCCTCCTCCTGGTCTCCTCTCCCTCCGCAGCGCCTCTGCAGAAGAAGAAGAAGAAGCAGGAGCAGCCAGAGGAGAGAAGCAGGAGGAGCAGCAGCAGCATCATGACGAGGCGCCGCAGCCTCCCTCCCGGTGGACCCGGGCCCTGAGAGCCCCCCTCCCGTGCCCCCTTCCTTGAGGAAGACCCCTTTGCAGAGGAGGAGAAGGAGGAAGGGGCGTCGAGACCATGGCCCAGGCCGCCAAGCAGCTCAAGAAGATCAAAGACATCGAGGCGCAGGCCTTGCAGGAGCAGAAGGAGAAGGAGGAGTCCAACCGCAAGAGGAGAAACCGCTCCCGGGACCGCAAGAAGAAGGTGGGAGAAGCCGGGGGACTGGGGGGGGGGGGGGGGGGGGGGGTAGAGGCAAGGGTCGGGGGTCCCCAAGGGCTTCCAGTCGCTTCAAGCTGCCCTTGACTGGAAGGACCCACGGGATGGGAATACCCATTGGCTGGAGCTGACCATTTGGCAGGAGGAAGGAGCCAAAGTCTTCCAGGGACTAGTGTGTCCAGTGGCAGGGGGTCCCCAAGGCCTGGAAACATCCCCTGGCTGAGAAAATCGAGCCTGGAGGGACTTCCAAGGCTTTCCGCAGAAAGCTGGTAGCCTCCAGTATCAGGGAGTACCCAAGGCTTTCCAATATATAGCTGAGGACTTTTGGTACCTGGAAACACCCATTGGCTGGAGCTGACCATTTGGCAGGAGGAGGGAGCCAAAGTCTTCCAGGGACTAGGGCTTCCAGTGGCAGGGAGTACCCAAGGCCTTCCACTGGCTGAGAGAAGGCAAGGGCTTCCAACATGGGCAGGAGGGACCCAAGGCTTTCTTCAGAAAGCTAGTAGCCTCCAGTGGCTGAGAGTACCCAAGGCTTTCCAATATCTAGCTGAGGACTTCTTATAGCTGGAAGCACCCATTGGCTGTAGCTGACCATTTCCCCGGAATATTCAGAGTCTTCCAGTGGCAGGGAGTATCCAAGGCTTTCCAATAGCTGGCTGAGGACTTCTTGTAGCTGGAAACACCCACTGACTGTAACTGACCATTTGCCCAGAGTATCCAAAGTCTTCCAGTGGCAGGGAGTACCCAAGGCTTTCCAATATCTGGCTGAGGATTTATGGTACCTGGAAACACCCATTGGCTGGAACTGACCATTTCCCCAGAATATCCAAAGGCTTCCAGTGGCAGGGAGTACCCAAGGCTCTGCCAGAGGACTTCTGGTACCTGGGAACACCCACTGGCTGTAGCTGACCATTTCCCTGGAATATCCAAAGGCTTCCAGTGGCAGGGAGTATCCAAGGCTTTCCAATAGCTGGCTGAGGACTTCTTGTAGCTGGGAACACCCATTGGCTGGAGCTGACCCTTTGCCCAGAGTATTCAAAGTCTTGCAGTGGCTGGGAGTATCCAAGGCTTTCCAATATCTAGCTGAGGACTTCTGGTACCTGGAAACACCCATTGGCTGTAGCTGACCATTTCCCCGGAATATCCAAAATCTTCCAGTGGCAGGGAGTCCCCAAGGCTTTCCAATATCTAGCTGAGGACTTCTGGTACCTGGAAGCACCCATTGGCTGTAGCTGACCATTTGCCCAGAGTATCCAAAGTCCTCCAGTGGCAGGGAGTCCCCAAGGCCTTCCCAGGGCTGGAAACATTCCCTGGCTGAGAAAATCAAGGCTGGGGGGACTTCCAAGGCTTTCCTCAGAAAGCTGGTAGCCTCCAGTGGCAGGGAGGACCCAAGGCTTTCCAATATCTGGCTGAGAACTTCTTGTAACTCGGAACACCCTTTAGCTGTAGCTGACCATTTGGCAGGAGGAGGGAGCCAAAGTCTTCCAGGGACTAGGGCTTCCAGTGGCAGGGAGTACCCAAGACATTCCACTGGCTGAGAGAAGGCAAGGGCTTCCAACATTGGCTGGAGGAACCCAAGGCTTTCCAGTAGCTGGCTGTAACCGAGGACTTCTTGTAGCTGGAAACACCCCTTGGCTGTAGCTGACCATTTGCCCGGGGTATCCAAAGTCTTCCAGTGGCTGGGAGTACCCAAGGCTTTCCAATAGCTGGCTGAGGACTTCTGGAAACACCCATTGGCTGTAGCTGACCATTTCCCTGGAGTATCCAAAGTCTTCCAGTGGCAGGGAGTACCCAAGGCCTTCCCATGGCTGACAAGAGTCAAGGGCTTCCAGTCTCTGCAGATTCCCATTGGTTGGAGAGACCCAAGACCCTTCTGGAGCTGGAAACATCCACTGGGAGTCTCCAGTGGTTGGGAGTACCCAAGGCATTCCAGTTGAGCTGGGTGGAACTGAGGACTTCCAATAGCTGGAAATATCTGTTGGCTGTAGCTGACCATTTGGCAGGGGGAGCCAAAATATTACAGGGACTGGAAGTAGCCATCCTAGTGTTTCCAGTGGCAGGGAGTCCCCAAGGCCTTCCCAGGGCTGGAAACATCCCCTGGCTGAGAAAAGGCCAAGGCTTTCCTCAGAGCTGGGAGCCTCCAGTGGCTGGGAGTACCCAAGGCTTTCCACAGTATGCCATGAAGAACCAAAAACCGAGGACTTCCATCAGCTGGAAATACCCATTGGCTGTAGCTGACCATTTGGCAGGAGTATCCAAAGTCTTCCCGTGACTGGAAGTATCCATCCTAGTGTTTCCAGTGGTGGGAAGTGCCCAAGGCCTTCCCGTGGCTGGAAAGAGCCAAGGGCTTCCAGTAATGGCAAGTTCCCAATGACCAGAGGGACCCAAGAAATATCCACTGGGAGACTCTCCTTGCCAAAAGCCCTTCTATGGCCACTGGGGATTGCCAAGCACTGGAAACCAGTGGATTTTCCCAACCACAGCATGCCCTTGTACCAATTCCCAAGAAGGCGTAACATTGGAGGACCACAAGGGTTTCCAGTTGGTGGAGACCATTGGCCACTTCTAGACAGTGGGAGCCCTTGGGTACTTCCATCCACTGGAGACTGCCAGCTATAAGAAAAGCCATTGGCTGGAGCTGACTGTTTGCTGGGAGGGTCCAAAGTCTTCCAGTGGCTGGAGGCACCCACGGCCTTCTGGTGCATGGGGGGGGGGGTCCCCAAGGCTTTACCACTCTGAGCAGACTGGGCCCTTCCTTCCTTCCTTCCTTCCTTCCTTCCTTCCTTCCTTCCTTCCTTCCTTCCTTCCTTCCTCGCTCCCTCTCAGTTTCCTTCCTTCCTAGTTTCCTTCCTTCCTTCTTCTCTCCCTTAAAAGTTGGCTTCCTTCCTTCCTTCCTTCCTTCCTTCCTTCCTTCCTTCCTTCCTTCCTTCCTGCCTTCCTTCAGTTCTTCCTTTAGTCTTTCCTTCCTCCCTCCCTCCCTTCTTCCTTCCTTCCTTCCTTCCTTCCTTCTTTCCTTCCTTTTCCTTTCCTTTCCTTCTTCTCCTTCCTTCTTTCCTTCCTCCCTCCCTCCCTCCCTCCCTCCCTCCTTCCTTTCCCTCCTTCCTTCCTTCCTTCCTTCCTTCCTTCCTTCCTTCCTTCCTTCCTTCCTTCCTAGTTTCCTTCCTGCTTTCCTTCAGTTCTTCCTTTAGTCTTTCCTTCCTCCCTTCTTCCTCCCTCCCTCCCTTCCTTCCTTAGTTTCTTTTCTAGTTTACTTCCTTCCTTCCTCCCTTCCTTCCTAGTTTGCTTCCTTCTTTCCTTCCTAGTTTCCTTCCCTCCTTCCTAGTTTGCTTTCATCCTTTTTTCTTCCGAGTTTCCTTCCTTTCCCCCCCTCTCCTTTCTTTCCTCCCTCCGTTCCAGTTTCTTTCCTTCCTTCCTAGTTTCCCTTTTTCCTAGTTTCTTTCCTTCCTTCTTTTCTCCCTCCCTCCCCCCTTCCTTCCTAGTTTTCTTTCCTTCCTTCTTTTCTCCCTCTCTCTCCTCCTTTCCTTCCTAGTTTCTTTCCTTCCTTCTTTTCTCCTCTCCCTCCTTTCCTTCCTAGTTTCTTTCCTTCCTTCTTTTCTTCTCCTCCCTCCTTTCCTTCCTAGTTTCTTTCCTTCCTTCTTTTCTCTCTCCCTCCTTTCCTTCCTAGTTTCTTTCCTTCTTTGCTCCCTCTCCGTCCTTTCCTTCCTAGTTTCTTTCCTTCCTTCTTTTCCCTCCCTCCCTCCTTTCCTTCCTAGTCTTCTTTCCTTTTCTTTTCTCCCTCCTCCGTCCTTTCCTTCCTTAGTTTCTTCCTTCCTTCTTTTCTCCCCCCTCTTTCCTTCCATTTCTTTCCTTCCTTTCTTTTTCTCCTTCCCTCCTTTCCTGCCTAGTTTATTTCCTTCCTTCTGTCCTTCCTTCCTTCCTTCCTCCCCTTCTTTCCTCCCCTTCTTTCCTTCCTAGTTTCCTTCCTTCCCTTCGTTCCTCCCTCCCTCCTTCCTTCCTTCCGTAGTCTTTCTTCCTTCCTTGCTGGAAGGGTTACCAGAGTGCTTTCCCCCTTGCTCCCTTCCAGTCGTGATGTAAAAGTCCTAAATGAGGTTTTGAGGGAAATCACCCCCTCCCCCTTAGTACAGAGCAAAACAGAGGAGGATACCCCCCCATCCTGCCCCCCCCCCCATTCTGCTGGGGTTTTTGTGGGAGCCTCATTTTGAGCTCCTTCAGCACCACGGCCAGCTCTTTCGGGGCCTCCTTTGGCCTTGTTTCCGCTGGCCAAGAGCTTGGGAAAATGGCCTTCTGAATGGACTGCGATCAGAATTCCTCCCCAAGCTGTGGGTTGGGGGTCCCAATGGGCACAGCCTCCTTCCAGAGGTCTTCCCGAGGTGTCCAAACTGGTGGGGATTTGGGTTGTTCTGCGGCTGGAGATGGCGTTTGCTGCCTTCCTTCTTCATGCACTTGTCCAAGGCCAGGCTCTGCAGGCGATATTTCAGGGGAAGGCAGTGGCCAACCCCTTCTGAGCCCCACGAAATGCCTGTGAATCCACTTAGCTGAGGTGTGGACAGGGATCTGTGTCTTGCTCCAAGAAGAAATAGGTGGGCAGGATGCAAAGTTGGCCCTCCTGGCCTTGGAGTGGCCTTTAGCACCCAGCATTCAGAGATACGCTGCTTCTGGACATGGAGGTTTGATCCAGGTAGACATTATGCACACTTGATGGGCCCCTTTGCTAGAGTTTGCAGGACTGCAAGCCTTGCGCAGGGGCTTCTCTTGCAGAAATCAGTTGAAGAGACCTGAGAAGGTGCTTGAGTATACCTTCTCCTTTTAGCTTTCCTTAATACACAGCAAACAAGATTGCTCTGCTAGCTTTTGTGTTCGATCGCACGTCAGACACTTCCCAAGTATCTAGGACTGCGTGATGTATTGGCAAATGTGTGCAGATCCAAGCAGGGTGGCCTTTTTCCAGCTGACAGATGGTAATTTTGCCAGCGATGATTGTTTTTAAG